TTTGGCCGCCGCTACTCCCCGTCTAGGTCCCTTTTCACTCCGATTTTCCCCGGGCAGCCCTTTTTCCTTGCGGCCCTCCTGGAACTTTATTTTTCCTGGCCCGGCTGGCCCCGACCATTCCGGATTGTCAGCCAGGCCTCCTTGCCGCTACTGCTCTATTTTTTCCGCGGCCTCCCGCGCCGGCGCTTGCCGCGGCGGTGCTTGGTGTATTTTTCCCATCCTGACCCATGGTCCAGATGGGGCCGTCCGCAGGCGCCACCTGGCTATTTTTACCGTCTACCCCATTCAATTTAGGACTCCTCCGGGGCATCCCAGGTCCTTTCCGAATTTCTCACGTCACCCCCGCTCCTTTTCATTTTGTCAGTGATTCTCCATCGACGCCCCGACTTTTTCCTGTTTTTCCGCTAATCTTAGTTGCTCCCGTCTTTTCCGGCTTCGCCGTGGGTGACGTTCCTATTTTCCCTCGGTCCGTCTGGCGTCCTCGTCGTCCAATTGCCGGCTATTTCGCCGACGTCTTCTGATACTTGGTTCTTCGTGGCCTCTTGATACTTGGTTCCGTCGACTGCTCCTGATACTTCCCTGTTCACAAGCTGCGTCTTTTGCATTTGCGTATTCGTAGCCGTCTCTCCTGTTTTTGCCAGCTTCCCTCGTCGTTTTCTACCCGATAGGCCGCTCTCCCCAGACGGCCCATCTTTTCCGCGTCTCGTCACTGCTCCCGATTTTCTCTGATGTGCACAAATCAGCCAAATCCAAGTTCTCGAGTGACGGGAGTTCATTCGGGACCCACCGATCCCGACACATTCCCCTCACTCATTCGCGATGTCCTCATCGCGCATTAGTCCATTGTTAGTAGGAATCTGGAGGCACGGACGGGGGGATGGAGGGGAGGGTCAAGATGGGCGATCAGCTTGCCAGGGTCCTTTTTGTCTTCTTCCCAATCTTTTCTCAGGGGTTCCTCTTGTCTTTACCCCCTCAGGGCGGGGGAGGGTATGGGGGTCGGGGTTTCCTCTTCAAGCTTTCTCCTTTCTTCCTACAGCTTAGACAAAGCTGCTCATTTTCGTCATAGCTGTGCCTCTTTATCTTCCCCTCCACCGAGACACGAGTTTCCTTCTCAGTCAATTCTGTATTTCCAACAGGGCAGCCCGGCGTTCCTTTGACTCCAGTAACACGAGGCAGGCGAGGCTCTCCTTGCTTCCTGCTCTTAATTCCCAGCAGACGGACTTCCTCCCCGAGATGACCATTCGTCGCCCCAGTCCGGGTGGTTTTTCCTGCCTTGGTTTTGCTGATAACAATTGTAGGCAAGTTTTTGGATGTGACTCAATGTCAGGCATCTGCTCTGGAAGGGGGGTGTTCGTCCAGTACAACCGCCGCCTTTGCTGTGGTGATACCCACTTCGAATTGATGAACACATGCACAACTCCCCTTAGCTGCATTATAACCTCGATTCCATCTCTCCGCCACTCCCCACTGCTCCCTTCTTTCCCCTGGGTCATTTTTTTCGGTCTTTTATCAGGTCCTGCCAATCCTGCCTGTATCTCACCCCAGTTACCTCATCGCTCTACCGTTCATTACCCCCTTCCCTTGTGCTTTCATTTTGCCCGTTTTCTTTGATCCTTTGTAGATTTTGGAAAAGACCGTCTTTTTCTTCCCCCCCCTTCCCTCTTTTCTTCATTCCATTTTTACTTTGTTTTCTTTATTTCCCCTCGGCGACTCTTTTGTGACCTGGCTCAACCACGACCAAAGGCAATTTTCACACTCCATATGACCGGCTCCTTTATGGCCCAGCTCAGCCAAGTCCAATGCAATTCTCACAATTCATCTGACCAAGCACCTTTATGGCCCAATTCCGCTAAGTTCAATGCAATTCTCACAATCCGTCTGACCAGGCACCTTTATGGCCCAATTCAACTAAGTCCAATGCAATTCTCACAGTCCATCTGGCCAGGCACCTTTATGGCCCAACTCAGCCAAGTCCAATGTAATTTTCTTGTCCATCTTTTCGTGGGCCTTTTACTTCTTTGCACGCTTTGTCCTTAGGTAGATGGCACACCTTCCCCCCACTCAATCGCGATGTCCTCATCGCGTTACATGTTCTCACTTGGAGGCACGCAAACCTTGCTTGCCAACTGAGTAAGCGGATGCCGGCCCATTTGCAAGAGGAAGGGTGATCATTCCTTCCCTTGTTGATAACTCAGCTCATCCCCTACCCTAGTCTGGCGGCCACCAACTCGGAGATAGGCATCATCATTGAGGTGCCTCCTCGCAGCCGTGAGACAGGCTAGTCCCTATCTCCCAGGACCTCATCCTGCCCGAGAGTGGCTCCCTCGCGAATCGTTCCTCCCAAAGTGGTATGTTTTGCGAATCCGGCCTCATCCAATCCAAGAGAGTTGGGGCTCTCAATTAGTCCGCGAGTGCAGTTACGAAAACCTCGCAATTAGTCCTGAAACGGTTGTAATGCTCCGGCAGGGCAGTGTCAATGCCCCGTGGTGGCCGCGGACTCCACCCGGTACTCCGCCAAGCCCCTCCCCTTGGACAGTGTCACCCAACTTAGTGCGGGCAGCCGAGGTCCGACCCAAACGGCCATGGCACCCCTCTATGACATGGCGTGTGGTTGGAGAGGACAAAATAGACTAGATGAGAATGACGTCCTTGCCCATTTGACGTTTAAGCATTCAACAGGAGGCGCAGTTTGAACTCCCCGACTAGAGCTCATTGTCAGGGTCAGTTCCGGACGTCCCGCACCGATCCAAGTGGTAGGTGCCTTAGTCCTTTAACCCTCATCCTCTTAAAGGAGGAGCAGGTCGCGCAAAGGGATAGAGATTTTGGTGTCGCGGTGCGTGCACCGGTATCCCCCTCTCGCTGAGGCCAAAGACTAGAAGAAAAAGGAAATTCATTTCAATGCCATTTCCAAATCCATTTCAAGTTGCCTAGGGTCCCCTGTTTATGCAATGCAATTTCCAATACTCAATCCAATTCCAATGCTCAGTCTCATTCCGATGCTCAATCTCAGTCCAACGCTTGATGCGATTATCTCTTCCAAGGCTGAGTCCAGTGTCCTTTCCAAGGCTGAGTCCAATATCCTTTCCAAGGTTGAGTCCAATATCTTTTCCAAGACTCCGTCTTTCCAATGTCTTTTTCCAAGGCTCAGCTCTTTCAATATCATGCGTCTCAAGCAGCCATGCAAGGGGACCCCAGTGCCAATTCCAAAGAATGACTCTTGTCAGGGGCCATTCCGAACATCCTGGTTATGATCGTTCTTCTTTTCCAATCTCGAGCTTTGAACAGTCTGGTTAGGGTCATTCCTATTTCCATTCCATACTCATACTTGAATAGCCTGGTTAGGGTCATTCCCTATTTCCATTCCCTTCTCAATACAAGCGCCCGAGGGGGTGGGCTGAGGGAGGCTCGGATCCGATTGTCGGTTTGGGGGGGTAGGTGGTGGCCATTAGTTTTAGCATGCTATGCATTTTCTTGCTCCACTTTTCTTTATCTTTCTCATACATCCGACTTAGCGTCTAGCTCGCGGCGGGATTCACCCAGCCTTTAGCAATGCTAGCCCGCCCGGTCGTTCAATCATAGCTGCAGGTCTCATGCATATTGATGTTGAGGACTGGACTCCGTCGGATTAGGCTCCTAGGGGAAAGCATTGTCGTGTCGTTCTACCCGTAGGTTCCCTAACCTCTCTTAACAGGACACCATTGTCATTCACACCTGTGATCGTACATTCTGAGAGATTCATTGTGTCTGCAGCCAGGACCAAGTCCTTCCACTCCAACTAGTATCACAATTTGTTGAGAAGACAGAAACCGAATTACAGATTGTTTAAATAGCAAAGAGAGAGCCTCCTTATGTTTGAATCCCCAATCACACTCTCCTTCGTCTTTGCCAAACTTAGAAAAAGTAGTTGATACTCAAAAGGTTGTCTCTCCCTGCATCTCCCAGCTTGCCCTCATATCTTTTAGCAAGTTTCAGGTCAGCAGGCATTGTTTCATACAAAAGTCTCACATCCTTGCCTTGACTAACTTTGTTTCTAGGAAGCCACTTAACAAAATACCACCCCCGCTTTTCTCTCTGATTGGTTTGCCGAGTCCCAGCACCCCTATTTTACATCCAACTGGTCCGTATCTCGTCCAATGTTGCCTTCATATCATGTAATGTTTTTTTTGAGAAAAAGTCCGTTGGCGTGACCCTCCGAATACCTCCTCCCAATCATGGACCTCCTCTGAGGCCCTGCTTGTTGATGCCTGTCCTTCCGGCCTGGGCCTTGAGACCCTATTCATCTCGTCATCGCTACTTACAATTACAATCTCCGGAATGTCCTCCCCTGTCTCACTGTCATCTTCTGTAGATCCCTTAGCGTTTTTCCGGCTTCCCTGCCCAGGTTCTTCCTTGTGTTTGTCCTCTGTCCCTTTTTCTTCCCTCCTTTCCTCCCGTTCTTGCTCACTTTCATCCTCTGGCCAGGCTGGGAGCACATCGCCTTCTTTTGTAGGGGAGGGTCTACAGGCTCGCATCTTCCTTTTTCCCGTCCTCACAGGGGGCCGGGGTTGCGGTCCTATCACGAGCACCGGTCTGTTTCTGTTTTGCGGCCTCTCTGGTTGCCGCCATGGGTCATCAACATTGATGTTTGCTTGATTAATATCGTTCTCGTTGTTGGGTGTCATCTTGGTCCGCCTGACTTCTATACCTGAAAGGCAGGACACAAGACAGGAGAAAACCCCAACCCATTCCCTTGTGACACTCATTCCAGGCTCTGCCCACACGTGTCCCCCAATCCTGGTTGCTCCCACGGAAGCAGAAAGGCATGAAAAAGAAAAAAAAGGAGGAACAGCCGACCACCTCGCCCCCTTTTCCCAACGCCCCTCCAATGCCATGTCTTATGGTACAATGTCCCATCCCCCGTTGCTCATCCCAGTATCCTATAAAAACTATGATACAGAAAACCCCCGCCGAATCGCACGTTTTCCCATGCGACTCGTGCACACCCAGGCCGTCAAAAGGAAAGAAACACAAAAAACAAAAGACAACAACCAGAAGCACAAGCGATAAGTAGGCCTCTTGCCACTGTCCTGAGCGGCCTTAGTCTTCCGCCTCCTTATCCTGGGCTTCTTGCAGCCATTGTTCCACCGGATCCCTAGTGAGAAACCTAACCAGTCGTTGCGCAGGGACTGGCCCCCTTATAGTGATCCCATCCAGGTTCTTAATCTCAAACGTGCTCACACCCAGCTTTCTTGCAATACGGTAAGGTCCCTATAATCGCCGCCCCACCTGGCCTGACCACGTAGTTTCTAGTGCCGAATTTCTGACTAGGACCATCTCCCCGACCTGCAGAGGCTCCTTCCGGATGTTCTTCAACTGGTATCACCTGATTTTGTCCTTCATGCGACTGTCTAGTACCTTGTGAGCTATTTCTTCCAATGCCTCCTCGTTCCTGGCCGCTTGTTCACACCTTGCCTCAATCAATTGTCCCGTAGTCAGATGAGGATCATCTTCCAATTTGTTCCAGGTGGGTACTAGGGCTTCTACCGGAAAGTCTATCTCCCCGCCATACCATAGCTCTGCCGGGATGCATCCCGTCGTCCTTTTTGGTGTCATATTCTCGGCAAATACCGCATGTCTGAGATAGTCCGGCCAGTTCCCAAGGTCATCTGCTGCCAACTTTGCAATCGTGTTCTTAAGCGTTTGGTGCCATCGCTCGACTGGCGCGTTGGCCTCAGGGTGGTATGGTTCTGTCAATTTGATCAGTAGGCCAAGCCTCTTGCAGGTATTCAGGACGTCCTGGTTCACAAACTCAGTCCCATTGTCGGCTATGAATCTCCTGATGAACGGGTGCCTCAGATAAAAGTTATCCACCCAGTCTGCAACTGCAAACCCAGTTTTCTTCTTGAGCGCGGTTGCCTCGACAAACCAACTAAGGTTATCCCCTGCGTCAAGTATGTACCTGTACCCTTTTCTGAAAACCGGCATGACTACCAGGTCGAGATGTACCATATGCCCTGACCCCAGCACGCGGGTGGGTCTAAGTGGCTCGAAAATGCGGATCGTGCTTCGTTCCTGGCAGATTTTGCAGGT